TTGGCTGGGTCTGCCGAAAGTCCAAACTCCCCCTGAGCCACTGGCAGAGCTTGCGAGTCCCCGTTGAGAAGCACAGGTCCCAATGATGTGCTCAGGCATGCTGCCGGTTGGCATGCAAGTGCTGCAAATCCATTGCCCCCACCACCCAGGCCCTTGCAGGGCTTCAACGGATTCGAAATGTAAAGCTGTGCTCTCCGTCATCTCTGGCGAGCCCCAACCTTTGCAAAACCGAAAGTGGCCTAGGACCAACAAACCTGTGGCTTGTTCCTGACTGGGGCAAGCTCGCTGCTTTGGATCTGCACTCAGTGGAGACATTTCGTTGAACAGGTTGCACATGCGAATCAAGTATGCTCGGCTTGGATTCTGCGTTGCCGATGCGAGTTCAGGACTGTATGCATAGTGTCCGAATTGGTTCTTGGCCGAACACTGAGAAGCCGTCATCAGCCCCACCATGCTCCCATGTTGTGTTGTATTCACGCAGGCTTTGCATTTCTATGGCATTTGGCCGTGTATCAGGAATATGAGATGCCAGCAGCCTACTCTGGCTTCCATTTTGAAACGTTTCAGCTGAGAACTTGCTTTGACGGAGGACGCTGCAGCAGGGCAATCCTGAAGAGGGCTCAGCTTCTTCTGCATGTGAATTGGCACACCTGTCCATCCTCCCTCCCCAGGAGCATTCAACAAGCCACGGCAACCGTTTGCGTACCCAGCTTGCAGATGCACGCTAGTTTGCCCTCATCGGCCTCTCGCGCATGGCATGTGTAAGTCATGGTGCATGAGAGATCATCTTGAAGGTCAAGATGGAAGGCCGGCTAGCATCCCAGATTTCAGGCAAACGGATGCGCAGAAATTCGGTCTGAAACATGGTGATGCCTGAGGCAAGTCGCTCATCAGAACCATAACAGCAAGTTGCGCCCTCTCAGAGGGTTACCTGTTTCACAGTGGCCTGTCGAAACCGCAGATCACAGGCTGATGTTGCTTAGCCATTTGCATGCAACACCGTGACACCGACGCAGATTCGCATGCTTTGGTGCTGGCATAGGCAGGCTTAAAGTGCCTTCGATTATGATGCTAAGAGCCAGCAGACCTAGATCTGCTGGTGGAAAGAAGGTCTACACGCTTTCTCTTGCAAACACACTCCTGCCTGAGCATGCGGGGTCCATGGAAAAAGCGGCATCGGACGCTTGATTTCTACGCGGCTCACAGTATACACTCACATGAGAATGATTGAGGATTCCATACGTACGCAAACTAGGCGGCTTTGTGCTGGCTAAACACATGAGGCTGGAAAGATCTGGAAAGGGTCATTGCATGCCCTGAGCAGACAGCTTTTTCCTTCGCTGCTGAAACACGCAATGAGCAATGAGTAATGCTTTGCAGATGGGCGTGGTTGGCTGTGACCTCAGCACGCGGCAGCCCTGGCAGCTGGCTTATTTTTTCTTTTATGAAAATTGAGGTAGCAATATCGCTGCGGCTACAGGCCACGCATCGGCCTCACCTCACTGACTTCCAGAATCAGTCATGCCTCGCTTTTACGGACTGGTTTCTGTGTAGGTTGTTAAGTTTGGCCAGTAGTTTGCACGTTTCATGTACAGGGGCAGCCCACTCAATTTGTGTGTCCTTCTCTGATGTTTGCACTCTGAAACGTGTTGGCAGGTCACACAGCAACAATTAGACCCATGCAGTCCTGACAACCCCGTGCGGGTCAGAGCCTTGGACCGCAGCTTGACACTCCGCATGTCCGGCACTCCGCCTGTTGATCAGGCCGATTACTGCGAGCAAATAGCAGAGGCGTGCTCTGCTTTTGCAAGCAGAGCTCGGCTAAATGTGCATCCGTAACAGGCTACCAATTGGGTATTCAAACCCTCCTTTCGGCACCAAAACCGCTATCATGAAATGTAAGGATTCAGCGGAAGGATCTCGAGTTCTGTCTAGGGAGTTTCAAGCCCGTTGCGGCACATCCGGGCACCTGGTGCTATACACAGATTACGCATCATCTGCTGGATCTCTCTGGTCAGGTGGTTGAGTGCACATATTCGGGCAAATACTGCTACATATATGATGTGGTCACCTCAGCGCAACCAGTCAAGTCATGTGGCCCATCAAAGGCAGCGGTTTCACAGAAGCGACGAGATGAGATTCCTTGTTCAGACAAAGGCCTTGGAACCTTTTTGCGTGGAGCACAGCAAGTTTTTTGATAGCCCTTATGGTGGCAGACGGGCCGAAGGCCTCAGACGCACTCAAAGCGCAGCAGCTGTTGCAACTTGACTGCTTGCAGGTCCACCGGTTTGCACTACCACTACAACTGCAACACATACAGCCCTTGCCTGAAAGGATCATCAACTTCAGCCTTGCGAGTAGTGCTCCACGGCCATGACAGGTCACGATTACCACAACGCGGACTGTGCCTGACTCAAGAGATGAAGATAGTCAGCAAAACGGGTTCATTTTGATTGTGTTCAGCCAGGTGACAGGTTTCACGACGACCCGCCCCCCAGCTGTCGAATGCAGACCTTGCCTGAGTCCAACTTGAAAGCTGAGCAGATTTGAGCATCTGGCGCTTTCAGGAGACTTCTGCTACGACAACTCCCACCCGTGGCTTGTAAAGTGTGGTTGGTTTGCCTGTGCGTCGTGTACGCTGGCTGAAATAAGTGCTGACCTGCATTCGAACTGAAATGTTTTTGAGCGCGCTCTAGGTGGAGAGTGTGCCTCAATCATACTGCCGTCCACAAGTGCGGCAAGCACGCCAAGACCTCAATGCATGATATCTATAAAGAAAGCTATGGTCAGGGCTTCCTGCCTGGCACTTCAGGTCGCAGGCGGAGATTGTCACCGCAAGGCCAATCGACTACTAAGTCACTTGGCAGACAGCTTGTGATGTTTGTGGAGGCCAGATCGGCGCAACACCACCTTGCCACCTATGACTGCACCGCCTTCCACAACAGGTTGATTGCTCCCTTTTGGCATCACTCGCAGAGAATGCAAGTGAAGGCGCAAGCGGCGGTGGTGGTGCTGGAGGGCCAGCTAGGATCTCAGCTGGGCAGACCCGGTGTGACAATCTTGCAGGCTAGTTGCATTCTTCTGGGCTTCAGGTGTTTCAAGACGATGGCTCGCTAGAGGATGCTGCAAACAGCGATCAAACAACAGCTGCTGAATCGTTGGCACCCCAGAGGTTTCGTGCTGGTGCACGGTGATTGCAGTTCTGCATTAGGACTACTACGACGCGCCAGCTAGAGTCCAAGACCTGCCTGCAGCTGTTCTGCGCTAAGCCTCTTGTACTGCTTGTGCCTCGGCATGGTCATGTTCCACGCTGTTGTTCGGCACAGGTGCTACAATGCTATTGAGATCCTTGGGTGGCCAACCCTGTGTGCCCTACTTGGAATAGTAAGAGGGTCAGTTCCTGTTTGGGTGAGTTCCTGTTTGCTTGTTGCATCCATAGTATTGGACTAATGGCTAAGGGCCGACCAAGAAGAGGTGCACGCCATAAACTTAAAAAACAACGGTTTACATCGCACAGCAAGCCCAGTCAACTTTTGCTAATGCAAAGTGGGCGAAGATAAAAAGCTAATAGGTTGACGCGAGGCTTCCGTAAGGGGGGTAGAGTTGGGTTGGATGAGCTGATGGCCGCACATTGCTTCTTGATGGATACCAAAAGTGTCTATCATGCAGAGTTGTTTCATTTCATGATGACTGCCTGGCAAATCAATCGACAGCGAAGGCACTTGGGCAACGTGTGTGGTGTGTCCCGAGTGCTCAGGCAATTATGCAACGTGTGCTTGTGCATTTAAGACTGCGCGTCAGTACCGAAGCATCACTGAGATTTCTGTGGCAGGAACGACCGTCACCAGAACCACTACAACGGAGGTTCTGCCACCGACCGTCACCTTCACCACTACACACATTACAGCAGCAGGCTGAGCAAGTCCAATCGGAATAAGTTCTGCTTGTGGAGTGTCGGATGGTTTCTCGCTTGGCATCACGTTCCTGCCACTCCTGCACTGGCTTATCTTGGGAACTGTGTGAAGGGACCTTGTGGAACTTGTAGTTCGATTGCATATCGCCCATGTCCCTGCCACCACACTTGTATGGCATCTCTCCAACTGTACCAGTACGTGATTTGCATGTGCTGCCGAAACATCTCCAGGTCACACTTGGCGAAACAATGACCACAACTGCGTTGACCTTGTCAGCAGCATTTGTTTTGAAGTATTTCTGCATGCATCGCGAAATCTTGGAGCCCAGACAGAGTTGGAATGTACTGAGACCGCAACGCGCACTGTCAGCAGTACGCAGACCCGGACGGAGCCGTGCTCAGTTGGTGAGCAGCAAAGTTTCAGGCAGTTGTTTGGTGTGCGTAATTGCCATTGCAACTACATGGTATCAGACCAAAGAAGGAAAAGAAAGCTGGATGGGATGTGGCCAGCAGTGGCCAGCAAAAGAGGTGACATTCAGCTGTTTAAGCATTTTGCCATTGTGAGCCCCGGAGCTCGAAACTGCGAGCAGCTGTGAACAGTACAGCAAAAGGGGACTTCTTTCAGCTTGGAGGTCACTCGCGAGCCTGCGTAAACTTTTCATTCTAGCAGGCATGTGGATGTGGACCAAAGGAGTTGGCCCCAGGCTGTGCTCCTGCCAGGGCCAACCTGACAAGTGTGGCAAGTGCAGCCTTTGACTCATCATGTAAGATCTGCACGCAAGACACCCCAAAGAACCGAAGAAGACATGAGATGAAGACATGAGATATCGAATCAGTGCCAGCTCATTGCCACGGTTAACCCTCCCTGTGTAACACAGTCCAAGCCCTTACTGAGACCACTGCCACAGCAACGCAGACGAGTACCACGACAGACAGGCTCGTGAGCCGAAGTTGTTCGATGAGGTTGTCGTTTTTGATGGCATATTGCCAGGGCTTGCACTTCTCCAAGCCCTGTCCTGACCGGTCTTGCCCGGAACAAGGATGAGAAAAAGATGTCACAGCCAATATTGCCTGTCATGGCTCCATGCAGCAGGATTTCTGTGCAAATCTGAGCCAGGGCCTAAGTTAAGACTTGGAGTTGCTTGTTTACTGGGCTGGGAATGACCCGCTTGCAGCATGTCACCTGCAATGTAATCACCTTTTCCGAGATTTCTTTAAGGTGCTGGAGACTTTTGCGTTGTCCATGCCCCAGACGTGTCAGGATAGTTCAGGATGTCTTTCCACACCACCATGGAGAATCAGACCAAACACAATATTCTTGCCAGGGAATATTGGATGGGTCTCTATTGATTGTTCAGCGACATGTCAGGCCCAGATCCTGGAGCATCCATGCCTCTATGCGGGAGACCTGTACCTGGAGTGCCCCAGGCTGCATGTTGCTGGGTCATGTCTTCGAGCTAGTCGTTCCTAAATCAAGCAAATGACATTCGAGGACGGCCCCAGCATCTTCCAGGTTCCTAAACCATATTTGTTGGTAGATGATGGTAGATGTAGATGGGTTGGGGAATGTTTGAGGTCCTCAGAAGTAATCACTTAAAACCGACTTAGCAGTGATTCATCCCTTGCTGTCACTGCGCTACAGCATCGCAAGTGTGTGCAAGCATCCTTGGCGGAGGAACAACATCATATACAGAGAGCCGCGACTGCTGCCTGCAGCTCAGTCCTCTAATGTATCCCGGCACCATCAAAAAAATGTTGCCAAGGCGAGGTGAGTACCAAACGAAGTTGGCCCCTCAACCCGCCAGCCTGCAGGAGCTTGCAGCAGGCTGGTTTCGTACAGCTTGTCGAATCTTGATATGCTCGAGGTGCCGAATCTGTGGCTTTGCGGACAATGACTGGGAAGATGATGATCCTACGCCAGGCAAGCAATGTTTTTTTCTTTGCTGGGAGCTTTCACGTGCAGAATGAGTTGTGTGGAGCCATCACATG